CTCCTGGTGATACAAAGCAAGAATTTTTGAGTCTGGCTAAAATTTTCGGATGGGTTCACAAGATCGATGAAAAATACAAGTACGCTTATTTTCCGAGTCATAAATATTTCACATTCACTACAATAGAACATAAAGTATATGAAAATAGCAATTTGGCTTATCTCAGATAGTGAAAGTGAGTCTGGCTGAAAATTTTCGGATCTTCAATTTTTCACTTGCCAGACATATTATCCATACACACAGATTAGCCGGACTATTTTTTTACGTAACTTCAGTATACTTCTCATTAGTAGACCTATTTTTATCACTGAGAAAAAAAAGGACCGTGCATTGGCAAGCTTTAACACATTTTGCGCCTCAACCCATCGGAAAACCCCCCCTAAAAATATATGTATTTTGCTTAGGATTAGTAGGTAACCCTGCAATTCTATCCATGTTTTCTGACTGGGAAAATAAGTACCAAAAATCGTCACTGCCTCCTAAACTATAAGAAACGGGTTTTTACAAATTCTAAAGTAATGCTTGTGTTGACAGTTTCAATGGCAGTTATCACTGTGTCATATCCTTCTTCATTAAGGAGCATTTACATTCACTTCCAACTTCAAGTTAGATTTGACATCTGATATTTTATCATTTACATTGCAGAACAAAAACGTCAAGTAAAAACGTCAGAATTTAATGAGAATCATGATGAATAACCTAAAAATTTGACATTTCAGAAATTTCTGCTTGCCTTCGGCAAGCAGCTCGCCCAAATTTGAAGTGCACTTCGAAGTGAACTTCAAATTTATTTCAATGTAAATAGATCTGTGCTGCCGCCATATGCCAAGCGCGTCAATTTCAAGATAAATTGGACTTTGAAGTGAATGTAAATGCACCATTATCTTCAAATTTGAGCGAGCTGCTTGCCGAAGGCAAGGAGAAATTTGTGGAATGTCAAATTTTTAAATTCTCATAAAATTCTCACGTTTTGACTTGACGGTTTTTCTCAATTTCCAATATCCAAATAAACGGAACAAGCAAAAAAAAAGCAATCATGAATATTTGGTTAGACGATGGAAGGCAGGCTGTCGGCAGTGAAAGTGAAAATTACGGAAATATCCAGGAAAATATTGAAAATTATTATATTGTTGATGAAGATACAGAAGACATTGCTCAGGATACTCAGGAATCTGAGAATAATTTTTCTCTCGGTGAATTTTTGCACAAAAATGGCCCACATAATGAAAGGAGACTTTCAAAACATGTAAAACTCATACATTGATCTTTTTCTACAGGGGGGTCTTTTTTTCTTATTTTTTAGGTGCAAAACACCCAAAACAACCGCAAACGTTCCCAGAACCACAATTTTTTTCTGATTCTCCATGTCCATATTCAAAAATTCAAAAACTTCCAAACCTACAGAAAACGCAAATAATAAACAAACCTCGATCAACCTGAGTGAATTTTGACAATTTTGTTCTGCAATGTAAATGATAAAATATCAAACGTCAATTTTAACTTAAAGTTAGAAGTGAATGTAAATGCTCCTTAATACATTTGGCCTTGCTGTCCCTCTTTAACCCGTCATTACACGCGTCAAAATACTTACATCATTACACGCGTTCGATCAAATCGACCGACTGCCCAAAAGTTTATATGAATTTTTAACTTTTTTCGCGGAGACGATCCCAAACGTATCCTGAACGCTAAGGCATGACCTACGCAGGTTTGCTAATCAATAGAGACATGAAACTCTCAAACATTACCTGCGTAAGTCATGCCTAGCGTTCAGCATACGTTTAGGAATGGGATCGTTTCCGCGAAAAAAGTGTACAAGCACTATAATTCCTAGAATTCATAATCATTACAAAGGGAATTATTTTATGCAGTACAGTCACCATATTATCGACAGCTGAGGGTACTCCCAACATCAGAAAAGGCCAATTTTGAACACAAATGTAACACTTGCAAAGCAAAATTTAAATGAAAACTCGACTTGAAAGAATCACTAACTTATACACTCGCATATTTTTCCTTTAGAATGTGACACTTGCAAAGCAAAATTAAAACGAGAAGCCGAATTGAAGAATCACAAACTAACATATTTGAATATTTATCCTTTTGAATGTGACACTTGCAAAGCCAAATTTAAACGAAAACTCGACTTGAAGAGTCACCAAGTGAAATACTCGGATATTTTTCTTTTTGAATGTGACACTTGCAAAGCAAAATTTAAACGAAAAGGCGTTTTGAAGAATCACAAACTAACATATTTGGATATCTATCCTTTTGAATGCGATACCTGCAAAAACTTCAACAAAAAACCAAAATATTTTTGGGCCAATGAGTAGTAGAAAACCTGCATCAGGCATTCTTGGATGGACAAAACTGCCACCCTTGTACCAGTTGCGTTATTACTGATTTCATCAATGGTCGGTTTTTTTGACCGACACGCATGTACTCCCGGGTTGAATGAGCAGCTTTTTCATCTGTGTTTAGGGTCTGGAACTGGTCATCTGTCACCTTTATTGCACTCTTAACATTTTCCTTATCCAACAATACCTGCACTCGAAACTTCCAGTCAGAATAATTGGTATTGGACAACTGAGAAAATGGTAAAACTGATGCAGCCATTTTCACAATAATTGACGACTTCAAAAAACAACAACAGCGCAGCTAATATCGGAAATGGAAAATGTTACCTACTTTTTTTTCACTTTACCCTTCAAACTTTATACACTGGGGTATCTGGGCCCATAACCTATTAAATATATCTGTTTTTTGAAGTAACGAAGATATAAATTTCACTGAATTTCGTTGAAAATGTATTTCATTTATTACTACACACCATAAATTATTGATGACAGACTGACAACTTTTTTTTAACAGAAGTCAGAATTTGTAAGATTATCCACTTTTTGTCCATTTGCCTTTTAACAGGAATTAGTAATGTTACTTTACCAAACTAGTAATATATTGTGACAAGTTATTCAAGTACAAACGAGTGGATTGTTGCGGAACTTATGGGTGGACAAAGCCATCTATTCACCAATATGTTATTCAAGTACGATACTAACCTGACTCCTGACTCACTCAAATGTGAGTTATTCTCATTAGTTTAAAAATTACACGTTTCAGGTGAGTGTCTTATTTGAACAGTTCAGCAGTATATTGGTGAGTAGATGGCTGCGGAACTCGCTGCGCTCGTCCCGCAGAGGTCCACCCATGAGTTCCGCAACAATCCACTTATTTGTACTTAAACAATAACTTATTATGTAAAGTCAGAATTTGTAAGAATATCCACTTTTTGTCAATTTGCCTTTTAACAGGAATTAGTAATGCTACTTTACCAAACTAGTAATATATTGTGACAAGTTATTTAAGTACAAACGAGTGAATTATTGCGGAACTTATGGGTGGATCAAGCCATCTATTCACCTATATGTTGTTCAATTACAATCCTAACCTGATTCACTCACTTGTGAATTTTTCTCATTAGTTCAAAAACTACACGTTTCAGGTGAGTCTCTTATTTGAACAGTTCAACAGTATATTGGTGAGTAGATGGCTGCGGAACTCGCTGCGCTCGTCCCGCAGAGGTCCACCCATAAGTTCCGCAATAATCCACTTATTTGTACAGGGTGTTTTTTTATATATTAACAACCCACCTACAGCCTTTATCTTTACAGGTAGAAAAAAGGTGTAAATACAAAAGTTGTACAGTTTTGGCTGAATTTTTAGAAACTATGGTCAGAAATAAAATTTGAATGTCAGAAATGTGAAATTTTGCATGCTTCCAGCTTTTTTCAGATGAGATGCCCTATACGTGCTCGGTATATAATGACCAACTTTTCTACCTAGGTATATTATGTACTATTTTGTATTAGTGCATGAAAAAAGATTTTGGGTAAAAAGAAGAAGATCAAGAGCTCATTATACTGAAATTTCGAATTGATTCTATAAAAAATGACAGCATGAGAAACTCTAGAAAATCAACTTCCAAAACCCAATTTAAGCAAAATGCACTTCTAGACATTTTGTTTTTTTTGAAGAAACTACCTGTGGAAAAACTTTTGGGTGAAAAGAAGAAGGAAATTTATAAATTTGAACATTCTTTGTTGGACAGAAAAAAAATCCCTGATGTAGCTGACATTATATGCTTATAAAAACAAAACAAAAATCCTAATTAAGTACATATTATAATTAATCTTTTTTTCTGGAAAACCTCGTTTAACAGCCTTATTATTCAAAGCCTTAATGAATAAATCAAATAAATCATTAGTTTCTTTTAAAAAAACCGACTCATTGTGTGAGCTGATTAATTAAACATTTGTAAAAATTGATTATTATCGATATAGTCAAGTTAATTAAGGTTGTACATTGAAATTAATACAAATTTTAACTTTGCAAAGTAAAGGCACGCTTCCTAATTTTGACCTTAAATTAAATATTTCTAATGATTTCTTACAAGAGCAAGGTTAAATCACGTTGAATTTAACCCAGAAATTCAAGGGAATCAGTAAATACGAACGAAAAATTCTTCTTAAATAATTAATTTATCGAGAATAAATCATGAAGAGATAATATTTTTGTTTTTCTTAAATTATACCCATAGTGAAGGCATTGCGTAATAAATAATACATATCCTTGACAATCAAAAGGCAGTAAAAACCTAATTAAAATTATCTTCATTCTATAATTAATAGCTGTAATTATACAAATGTGTATAATTACAGTGCAGAAATTTATGATTAAATATAGGTATATAGAAAGAGGGTAAAAAAGAGTTTAATTTTTCTATATTTATCACACACCCAACAATAAATATTTTACAGTTCAGTTGCATAAAATGCAAATTTAAAGCCACTGACCGCACTGGTATATTCAATTAGCATTGTGATTTTACAACCACAATAAAAATAGTGTCGATGATGGTCAGTACCTGATGAGGTCAGTACCAGTTCGTGATTTTTTTCAACAAACCATTGTGGTAAAAATGCTGCAAAATTTTATTTCAGGATAATGGGAACTATCCCACAATTGTCCATAATCAAAGGCCCAACAAGGCCGTTGCAACCCAATGTCCTCCACAACATTTTCGAAAAGGTTGCAAACGGACCTCACAAGTCCAACATTGCCTTGATTTTCCAAGAAAACTGTCAAACTTACGAGCAAGTGGACAAACTCAGTAATCAATTTGCCAGAGTTATTCGGCAAGCTGTAATTGAGAATAATTTGCAGAAAAATCACGATGGAGATTATATCGTTGCTGTTAATATGCATCCAAGTGATAGGTAAACAATACAATTATGTTTCTTATTGCAACTTATTAACTTATTCCAGCTTGGTAATTATTTTGTTATCCATTTGGAAAGCTGGATGTGCTTATTTACCATTAGACCATGCATTTCCAGGCCAAAGAATCGAACATATTATACGTGAATCCAGGCCTGTGATGATCATATTCGATGAAGGTAATGTTTAATTGTATGTTAAATTAAACGCACTAGCGATTACTGTAATTTAAAAGACAATGCAAATGGTTTTCTTGTTGTAGATTCTTCGTTTTATTTGAATACTTTCAAATTGTCTGTGGAGGAAATTTCGCAACACGGTTCGCAACAATCGGATGCAAGTTTGAAGGAGAATGGGAGGTTGAGGCATTCTAAGGATGATTTGGCTGTTGTTTTGTATACTTCTGGTAGTACTGGAGTACCAAAAGGTAAGTGAGAATAGATAATGATGATTGAATTATTGGAACTTTAAGACAGTTGAGTCCAAACATTGGATATTAAGGGTTTTATGCTAGGTATAAAAGATATAATATGAACTTAATTGTGGTCACTTTAAAGTCAGATACTGGTATTTCTTGAGATATTTTTCAATAAGAATTGGGCTTAATGGTATGAATTTTGGAAAGATTTCCAAAATTCCAAAGTGTTTATTCAAGATTTGAAAATCAAAGTTTCAATAGTCTGAATTACCGATTTATGAAGAGTGCATTGATTTTAATAAAGACGCAGACAAATTTGAAGATTTTGTGGTTTTGTAGCATTTCAAAACTCTAAATATCCACAAGAATTCGGACAATCTGAAGTCTTATGAATCTGGAAGCTTTATAAAAACTCATTTTCAAGATTTTTGAATCGAGGCTTAAATCTACTTAGAGACCGAATTTTCCAGAGATTCTAGAAAACCTCAAAAATACCCAAATTGAAGGATTTTCCCATGTTTTTTTTTACAATTATTGAGCTTCTAGAAATATTCATCTCTGAAACTAAAGAATTTAAAAAGACTTGCAAAATTCAAACAGGGAACTTTGAAAATACTGAAAACTCTGAAGACTTATTGTGTTGTAAGATAGAGAATGAAACTTCTAAAAGTCAAAAACTTGCGTAAGATGAAGATTTAAAAAATGTTGATACATTTTATAAAAATTAAATATCTGGAACATTCGTATACCTATGAATTGTATAGACATGGCTTTTCTATTCCAGGCTTTCATATTTTGTCTGATTTTTTCCAAATTCCTCTATTTTAGACAAAAACAGAGTCAGGAATAAACAAAAATTGAGATATGAAGGGGAAAAAAAAAACTGATAAGACAAGACGTATAGTCTTAGATTTTCTATTCCAGGCTCTCACTTTTTGTCTATATTTGTTTGAATTTTCTTCGTTTAAAGAGTTTTAGAGAAAAAAACTAAAATTCGCAAGCCAGGAATAGAGATAAATTGAGAAATAAAGAAGAAATTTGAGGAAAATTGAGAAAAAAATTATTGAGACAAAAGACAAGTATAGGTAGTCATAGTTTCTCTATTCCAGGCTCTCATATTTGGTCTATTTTTTTGATCAAAAGAAAAACTAAAATTCAGGAACCAGGAATCGACAAAACTTCACAAAGGAAAGTTGAGAAGTAAAGCGATAAAAAAGGAGAACCCTTTTTGGGTGGAAAGGAGAAGAAAATGAGCTCATCATACTGAAATTTCGAATCGATTCTGTGAAAAATGACAGCATGAGAAATTCTAGAAACTCAACTTTTAAACCCTAATTTAAGCAAAATACACTTTTAGATATTTTGGTGTTTTTGTAAACACCAGTGATGGAAATATTCTGAATTTTTTTAAGGGAAAAAAAGAAGAAAATGAGCTCATCATACTGAAATTTCGAATCGATTCTGTGAAAAATGACAGCATGAGAAACTCTAGAAACTCAAATTTTAAACCCTAGGTAATTTAAGCAAAATATCTTGAAGTAGATATTTAGTGTTTTTTGTAAAAACCAGTGACGGAGATATTTTGAAATTTTTTAAAGAAAAAGAAGAAGAAAATCAGCTCATCATACAGATATTTCGAATTAATTCTGTTAAAAATGACAGCATGAGAAATTCTAGAAACTGAATTTTTAAACCCTAATTTAAACAAAATACGCTTCTAGATATTTTGGTGTTTTTCGTAAAAACTAGTGACGGAAATATTTTGAAATTTTTAAGGGAAAAGAATAAGAAAATGAGCTCATTATACTGAAATTTCGAATCGATTTTTTAAAAAATGACAGCATGAGAAATTTTAGAAACTCAACTTTTAAACCCTAATCTCAGCAAAATACACTTCTTGATATTTTAGTGTTTTTTGTAAAAACCAGTGGAGGAAATATTCTGAAATTTTTCAAGGAAAAAGAATAAGAAAATGAGCTCATTATATTGAAATTTCGAAATTATTCTGTGAAAAATGACAGCATGAGAAATTCTAGAAACTCAACTTTTAAACCCTAATGTTAAGCAAAATACACTTCTAGATATTTTGTTGTTTTTTTGTAAAAACCACTGACGGAAATATTCTGAATTTTTTCAAAGGAAAAGAAGAAGAAAATGAGCTCATCATACTGAAATTTCAAATCGATTCTGTGAAAAATGACAGTATGAGAAATTCTAGAAACTCAACTTTTCAACCCTAAGTTAAGCAAAATAGACTTCTAGATATTTTGGTGGTTTTTGTAAAAACCAATGACGGAAATATTCTGAAATTTTTTAAGGGAAAAGAAGAAGAAAATGAGCTCATTATACTGAAATTTCAAATCGATTCTGTGAAAAATGACAGCAAGAGAAATTCTAGAAACTCAATAAATTCAAGCAAAATTCACTTCCAGATATTTTGGTGTTTTTTGTGGAAACCAGTGACGTAAATTGTCTGAAATTTTTTAAGGGACAAAAAGAAGAAAATGAGCTCATTATTCTGAAATTTCGAATTGATTCTGTGAAAAATGACGCCATGAGAAATTCTAGAGACTCAACTTCTAAAACCTATTTTAAGCAAAATACACTTCTAGATATTTTTGTATTTTCTGTAAAAACGAGAGAAGGAAATATTCTGAAATTTTCTGGGTAAAAAGGAGAAGAAAAGGAGCTCCTCTTACTGAAATTTCAAGTCGATTCTGTGAAAAATGACAGCATGAAAAATTCTAGAATCTCAACTTTTCAACCCTAAATTAGGCAAAGTACACTTCTAGATATTTTGGTGGTTTCTGTAAAAACCAGTGACAGAAATATTCTGAAATTTTTTAAAGAAAAAGAAGAAGAGAATGAGCAAATTATACTGAAATTTCGAATCGATTCTGTGAAAAATGACAGCATGAAAAATTCTAGAAACTCAATGAATTCAAGCAAAATACACTTTTAAATATTTTGGTGTTTTTTGTGGAAACCAGTGACGTAATTTTTCTGAAATTTTTAAAGGGAAAAAAAGAAAAAAATAAGCTCATTATACTGAAATTTCGAATTGATTCTGTGAAAAATGATACCATGGGAAATTCTAGAAGCTCAACAAAATCTAGTTTAAGCAAAATATACACTTCTAGATATTTTGGTGTTTTCTGTGAAAACCAGAGACGGAAATATTCTGAAATTTTCTGGGTGAAAAGGAGAAGAAAATGAGCACATTATACTGAAATTTCAAATCGAGTCTGTGAAAAATGACAGCATGAGAAATTCTAGAAATTCAACTTTTCAACCCTAAGCTAAGCAAAATACACTCCTAGATATTTTGGTCGTTCTTGTAAAAACCAGTGACAGCAATATTCTAAAATTTTTCAAGGAAAAAAAAGAAGAAAATGAGCTCATCATACTGAAATTTCGAATCGATTCTGTGAAAAATGACAGCATGAGAAATTCTAGAAAATCAACTAATCAACCCTAATTCAAGCAAAATACACTTCTAGACATTTTGGTGTTTTTGCTGTTTTTCAAAAGAACTACTGAAGGAAAAATTTTGAAATTTTTTGGGTGAATAGAAGAAGAGAAAGAGTTCATAAAACTGAAATTTCGAATTAATTCTAACAAAAATAACAGTACATGAGAAATTCTAGAAAGTCCACCATTTTATTGTCATATTTAAGATGGTCCAATTTAAACCCAAACTTGACCCAAAAGAAAAACTCCAATCTCCAAATTCCATTGTCCTTTAAAATATTTCCACTAAAAACAACAAGGCCAATAAACAATAATACTTTTAGGTGTTAGATTACCTCACAAGGTGATTTTGAACCGTCTCCAATGGCAATTCAAAAGATTCCCCTACAGCCCTACGGAAAAAGTGTGTGTTTTCAAAACAGCCCTAACCTTTGTCGACAGCATTGCCGAAATATGGGGCCCTTTACTCAACGGCTTGACAATTTTAGTTGTACCCAAAGCTTTGACCAAAGACCCGGAAAAACTTGTGAATTTAATTGACAAATATCAGGTAATAAATAATTGATTTTCTTATAAATAAGTCCATCAAATACATCTTTGTTTTAGATTGAACGTCTCGTTCTTGTCCCATCACTACTAAGAAGCCTCTTACTTTATTTGGGATTACAAGTAAATAAAGATGCCCTTAAATCGTTGAAACTTTGGGTTTGTTCAGGTGAAACTTTAGCAGTGTCTTTAGCTCAAGACTTTTTCCATTACTTTACTAGAAACGAGTATAAATTGTGCAATTTTTATGGCAGTACTGAAATAATGGGAGACGTGACTTACCACGTTATCGAAAGTCACGACGATATAAGAAACTTACATAAAATTCCTATTGGTAAGGATTTCGAGATAAAATGCAATTTATTTAATAATAATACTGCTACTGTATGTAGCATAAATTAATAATTTTATACCTAAGTGTAGTTGAATTGCAAAATGATATAATTATTAATAAAAAAAAATAGGCCTGCTTAACGGACCATGTAAAGGTTATGATCAAATAATCAAAGAAATATATGGGTTTTGGGACAAGGCCACTTAAAGTGTAGTAATCTTTCGCTTATTACCTTGCCGAATAAAATGCATCAATTTATATTAATTTAATTTATTATTACAGGTTTACCGCTGGATAATACAATGATATACCTCTTGGACAAAGATTACAGACCTGTAAAAGCCGGAGAAGTAGGAGAACTATTCGTTTCCGGATTAAATTTGGCCGCAGGCTACGTCAACAATCGCGATCCGGAAAAATTCATCGAAAATCCTTTGGCAATCGATCCTACTTATTCGAAACTTTTTCGTACTGGCGATTATGCTAGAATCGAAAAAGGTACTCTATTGTACGAAGGACGTACCGATTCGCAAGTGAAAATCCGCGGACACAGGGTGGACTTGTCCGAAGTGGAAAAAGCTGTCAATTCACTTAAAGGGGTGGACAAAGGAGTGGTTTTGTGCTACAAGCCTGGCGAAATGAGCCAGGCACTTTTGGCTTTTGTTACCACTAAGAATTTGATGAGCGAACATCAAATCGAAACCATGCTTGGTGATAAATTGACCAATTATATGATACCGCAAGTTGTTTTGGTTGAAAATATTCCGTTGCTGGTTAACGGGAAAATTGACAGGCAGGGATTGTTGAAGATGTATGAAAATACTAATAATAATGGTAAGAATTGGTTTGATTATAAGGAAGTGTCTTTTTACATTTGTTACTGTTCAAATTTTTATTAGACATTTCGTTCAGTTTTCATGTTGGTTGTGCACCGGTGCAGCACACGCGTTTGCTGCACCGGTGTACGATGATCCCGAAATATTGTACATTTTTACATTGGATATGCTTATACGGTACAAGCCTATCTGCGGTATTTACTTTATGTTGCAAGTTACATGTTTGATGTTTCCTTGGTGTAAGACCGCACTTAGTCTACAAACGTCGGCCCAAACAACTAAAGAATGCGATTTTCTTTTACTTCCTGGCAATTATCATGGAAAGGACTTTTGTCGGGTATTTTTGTTTAATGCAAAGTACTCTCCTAGGACACCAACCTCCAATTCGAGGATTGATGCAGGTTTCTTTTACGATGAACTGGATTTTTCGAAAACCTTATTTCGCGCCCGGAGGATTTAATCGTTGGCTCTCTCGTTTCTTTTTTCGTGCTCGTAAGCCAACAATATTAGGGGGGCTCTTCCACTGGCCGCCTAAAGCGTTCCCGATAGTCAGGGGATCCACGCAAAATATTGTCAGCCTAATACGCGCTCCAAGTGCAGAGTAAGCAAGTCACCAGATTTCTATTGAGAAAAATGAGGGGAGAGCTCTTCGTTTTCTCTGGCGCAGAGAACAGGAGCAGACAGGTGAGATGAGGTCTCGGTTACTGTCCGTAGAGAACTGTCTGACAGAATGTCGTTACTCCAACTCAACAAATACTAGTGAGTCAACCACCACAGAACCTGCAGCTACTGAAATTACAAATTCCAATTTTTCATGGAGGGTATTCTACATTCTTCAACATGAAAACTCAGCGTTGACCAAACCGGATAAGATGCACCACCTAAAACAAATGCCAAGGGAGAAGCAAGAAAACTAATCAATCACTTAGAGGAAGAACGCCGAGAATCAGTAGCTGCATGACGTCAGCAGCGAGTGTCTAGAAGCCATCTAAAAAATCTAGACGTCGTCAAAGTTGACATCTGGAGTCCCATAATAATCCGAATGATAATCAGAAAGTGGGACTCCGAAACTAACCGCCTATATGAGTAAAGTCTTGAGAAGCCTCACGATATTCCAGAGTTGATAGAATTCATGAAATTCTTGAAAAGAAGATTCCAGTCACTAGAAACTATCCCAGGATCAGAACTCAAGCCAAACCATGAGAAAAAATACAATAGTCTGTTTTGCCAAGAACAGCACATGACGTTCCTACCACTGCCAGAAATTTAAAGGAATTTCAGCACATCTGCTATAACTGTCTCAACCATGATATCAATAAGAGATGTTTCAGCCATACAAAATGTAGCATCTATAGTCGTCAACACCACACGCTTCTTCATATGGACAGACAGCAACAAAATTCTAACAGGCAGCCCAACTACCAAGACAGTTAGGTACTCCACCGCGAAATTCTCAACGACACTCACCATCAAGAAGAGTTGAACATTATCCATCAAGAGGCGCTATGTCTACCCACGCCAGTAGAAATGAAGAAAACGTTTTACTCGCTACAGCACTAGTAGAAGTTTTTAAAGGGTGAATAACACTTCTCAGGCCAAATAATTGTAACAACACTTTGTTAGCAATCTGCTTTTTGCCACAAAACAATATAAAAAGAAAAAACACATTACTGGCTCAATAAGCTCTGCCTATAAACTTCACAAACTTTTCTTTTCCTAACGACTTCGTAAACACATCAGAACAGTTATCATTGGAACAAATGTAAATAATTTTTATTATCTCTTTCTGACAAAGGTCTTTAATGAAATGATACTTAATTTCTATGTGTTTACCTCGCTTGGAGTTCTCAAAGTTTTTAATCATGGAAATAGCACTTTGATTATCTATTTTTAAAGTAACAGGTTTGCACTCGCCAAAGTCTGCTAAAATACCTCACAAATTGACCACCTCCTGAGCTACGTAACCAGCTGCTATATACTCAGCCTCCATTGATAAAAGGGCTACACAACTCTGCTTTAGTGAGTGCCAAGCTATTGGATTCCCGCCATGGAAACATATGAAACCACTTACGCTCTTCCTTGTCTGTCTTATCACCAGCCCAATCTGCATCACACATAGCTTCTAAGCCTCTATAATTTTTCCCATACATCAATTCATAGTTCTTAGTTCCATTAAGGTAGCGCATAATTCTTTTCCAGCTTTCCATGCTTGTATTGTTGGCTTGTCCAGGTATCGGCTTAAGTAACAAACACGATATCTGGTCTTGTCACCAATGCCAAATACATCAGACTGCAAATCAGCCTTCTATACGGGATATTTTCTTCTATAGGTTGTCCTTCATCCATGAGGAAATTTACTTCCATCGGTGTTGCTATGGGTCTACTATTTTCCATAACGAACTCTTTCAATAGTCGTGTGATCATTTTTGTCTGGGTAATCTTGATACCTCCTTCATTTTTATTTATCTCCATTCCCAGAAATGTCTTCACTTCAGTTATATTCTTAACCTTGAATTTTTATACAAACTGTCCACTTTTTCTTTTGGTCCCTTTATCAATGCATCGTCCACAAACAACACCAAATAAACATCGTTTTTAACATACAAACAATAGTCATATTGTGATCTTCTAAAATTTAGTCTCAACATTACTTCACTGAACTTCATGTTCATACAATGCCCGGTTAAGTTTTAAATACTTTGAGTCGCTTCTGAGTCCATCTGGCCTCTTGATATACACTTCACTGTCCAATTGACTATTTAGGAACGCGGTTGGCACATCTATCTGGCTCAGTACCCAGTCTTTTTGCACTGACACTGAAATTAAAGGTCTAATTGTAGGAAGTCTGCACACTGGTGCATAAATAAACTCGTCGTCCTCTTGTGGTACCTGAAAACAACCCTTGCTACAAGTCTCGCTTTCTTCGTGCCGTCCTCTTTGACCTTAAAAATCCATCTGGTATCAATTGCTTTTTGTCCTTCAGGTAATTCGGTTGGCGTCCAGGTGTGTAATTTTTCATGATATTTCAACTAATTGTTTATTGCTTTTAGCCACTCTTCAGATTCACTGGCTTCTTGATATGTCTTTGGCTCTTCCTGACTCTTTGAGAGTAAACAATATGCCACATACAGCTCATAATCATCCAGGTTTTTAGGCTTTTTTATATTTCTAGATCTAGTTACTGTACAATCTCTCGTTGGTATATATTGAGGATCACTTGAGCTTCCACTGCATTCATCTAAACTTTCATATTCTATTTCTTCATCTCTCGCAATTTGTCTCTCTTCTTGAATATTCTCTGACTCATTCGAATTTCTATATTCTTCTACTGTTATAAGTATATAATTATTTTCCTGTTTCTCCACATTCTTGAATTCCATAATAGACTCATCAAACCTAACATCTCTTGATCGAATGATTCTTTCTTCTGTAGGTGACCATATTCTGAAGTCACTTGACTCAAAAAAGAAAACAGTTCTGTCAGTAGATTCCAGCCCCTATGGTCTTGGAGCCACAATTTATCAGGATGGATATCCCATCGAATTTGCATCTGTCTCGCTCACAGGAACACAACGCCGCTACAATCACATAGAAAATGAATTATTGGCCCTAAGTATTTGGCTGTGAACGTTTTTATTTCTATCTATGTGACAACACTTTTGAAGCCGAAACAGACCATAGACCACTTTTGGGACTACTAAAAATAACCCTTGGATGAAATGTCGCCAAGAATCCAGCGTTTGACTATGAGACTATTGAGATTTCAGTTTACGTTGACTTATGTACCGGAAAAAAAACTTACAAGTACCTGATACACTGAGCAGGGACCCTCTTTATTTGACTTTGAATACTGATTATTTGCAAAATGACCTAAAAGTGTACTGTTTGGTAACTACAAGCAAAGCAAATGAAGAAAAACTCCAAAAAAAGATTGGCTTTGTTGGATTATAATACAACCTCAAAAGCAAACTTTTCAGCCTTTTGTTCTTTGTTAATGGGCAGAAGAATCCGAACAAACTTGCCAGTAAAAAGTGATTTTTTAAATCCTAGGTATTCCACAGAGTATGTCCAAAAACAACTTGAGCGAAATTAAATTCTCCAGAAATCGTATTATGATAAAACTTCACAAAAACTATCAGAACTTAAAATTGGTGACCAAATTTTACTCCAATCGGGAACCAGAAAGTGGAGTCCTGGTGTAGTCATTACCAAAAATGGACCGCGGAACTACACCGTAAATGTTAATGGACGAGACCTCAGACGCAATAACTAAATTCTTCAAAGTTACCTGTGAAAGAATGTTTGCCCATAAAATCTTCATTAAATGTCCCAAATAATGTGCCTATTCTGATGGAGAAGTTCGAGAAAGTGGAAAGGCAACAAAGTTCCGATAATCCACTAAAAAGTCAAGATTGTCAAATTACCAGAAGTAGAAGAAGAAAAAGTGGCCTCGTGTTGGGTAGCCACAATGTTTTTCTGATCAAAATCGAAATATCCTTTTTTAATTTTTTCCCGGCTTTAAAATGCATCATAGCAAGCAGGGTCCCATAAGCTTTTCAACGTTTTTTTTGCTCTTCTATCCGATGGTATTTTTTTTTTGGAAATTTGGAAAAAAAAAATTCAAAATCAAGCATGATGGGGAGGCTGACTCTTTTCTGGTACATCGGAGAGAACTGAAACTCGGAATATCGACTAAAAATCATATTTTGAATATTCCCGATTTTTGATTAGCTCCAAATTATCCGCTGACCAATAGAATTATAGACTTGGGTGCCCCGTGATTAAAATAACTCTAGCCCTTCGGGCTCGCGTATAACTCCGGCCCTTCGGGCTCGTATTACTGAGTATCCCAGATTCACTGATTTTTGTCGTGTCGTTGAATTTTCAATTTTTTGGGGGAGGCTTAGCCTCCCCTGTCTCCTCTGACGAGCCGCCATTGACTACAGTACATGTGACAATTTGTCTTATCAATTTAAGGCCTACTTCAAGCAAAATTGCATATCCAGGCAAACCAACTATAGTTCTAGAACCTCCACTGTCCAATAAACCCAATATTGAAAAACCAATAATAGACAATTCAAGAAACGGACGCTGGTCACCTTGTGCAGGAGAGAGATAAAATTCACCGTAGTCAGCCAGTTCAGAAATATGTGCAACCAATCCAAAAAGCTCACCGATGACGTCAAATACACATCTCTCGTACAGCATTTAGAAGAAATGGAAAATCATTCTGAATGGATATTCGCGACCATGTACAACATTCACCACAGAACCAAAAGAGGACTGTTTGGAAAATTTTTCACTGCGGTTTTTGGAGTGAACGACGAAAAAGATATCGATGCAATGATATTTTCTCATTATTGACCCCTATAGTGAAAGCAATACCCATTCCACTGAGAATCGAAAATGAAACATACTGGATTTTGGAAATACAACAGGAATAATTCAGATTTCCCAAGACTGCATATCCAGACAAAACAGAATATTCTAACTCCCAAAAAAAGCGCAACAGTTCCAGTTTTAGGCAACTATATGTGAAAGCTGTAGGTACCTACCCTTAATCTTCAATGGTACCCTCCACAAACACACACCTTCACATCTAGCCACCGAGCCTGTGTTTAGAGAAACTGATGATTTTGGAGAACTAGTAACAGAAGAGGAGGACCTCAAAGATAAACTTCATGATACAGTGTGGCGCAACATTCATCACCACTCCGTAGAAGTGTACCTACTACAATCTTCATGATTAGGCCTCAGGCTCTTTGATTTACCTATATTTTTGAGAATTGTGAGATTCTTCCATTGTGAATCCTAAACCTAAATGTTCCGAAATCCAACTCAGATTATCAAAATACAGTATTATAGAAGAATTATATGAATTACTCGTATTTTCCAAATCTATCTCCTGTAATATTCTGCTATATTAGCTATTTGATATTTTTAGATGATTCTGCTCCTGAAATCGAAATCAGCTACGAAGGAGTCCCCTCACACCAACTAAAAGCCGCCAAAGATTTATTCGAAACTGTAGCCGCCGTTTTGGGTCGTTCTGCCCGAAACGCAATTTCAGTCAACGCGAATTTCTACGAAATCGGTGGCAATTCCTTAAACTCGATTTTCACGATTTCACGTTTGACAGAAAAAGGATACCACATAAGTTTGTATATTTGAAATTAATTTAAATGTTTAGCTAAATTATTGAAAATTTCAGACATAGGAGACTTTATATCTGCAATAGATTTCGGAGAAGTTCTACAACGTATGACCGAAGATACCATAATAATGAAACAACCTCCAAGTTATACAATGGAACTTTTAAAAAACGATCATAAGAATTCAGTTTTAGAGTAAGTCTCCAATCAATTTAAATCAAATTCTGAATAATAATCACCTAATTTCCTATAATAGCATGATCACAACAAGCTTCTACCAAAAAGCCGACCTGGAACAATGGATAATTTCGGAAATATCCGTTTCCGATTACGAAGAACTAATGAAAGAATTATGGGCTCCTTTAGTTGAAAAAAATTTGAGTTTCGTTGCCAGAAACCAAACCGGCAAAATATGCGGAGTGGCTTTGAATTTCGATGCCAGAGACGAACCAGAAGTTGAAATCAAATCCAAATTGATTGTGATATTTGAGTTTTTAGAAAGCATCGAAGGACCAGTGAGGTAATAATTTTCAATAGTTGTTCAAATGTTGTTCTACTGCTAAAAAAATCCAATTATTATTTAGAGACAATCAACTACCATCAGGCAAAGGCAAAATCCTTCACTCATTCATGATGGCAACGCATTCCTCGTTAACTCCCAGAGAAAATGTGGCAGTATTCCAGTATATGGAAGATGAAGTATTAAAACTGGCTAAAACCAGAGGGTTTGCTGGAATTTTGACCACAAACACTAGTCCTTTGACCCAGCAATTGGGCTGCGACGTGTACAAGTACCAGTGCATGCTGGACTATCAAGTGAACCAGTACGTTTCAAGCGATGGTACCAAACCATTTGGAATGGCACCTGATGACCAAAGAGCTATAGTACATTGGAAACCGTTGATGTGATTGAATTTTGTCAATAATTGTATATTAAAATAGTAACTGGTGTTTATTTATTTGTAAAAATAATTATAATAATTCCTATATAAGTATATAAGTAATAGACTTAGGTATATTAAAAATAATTTTTATGTTTTATTCATCGTCCCTTCTTTTCATTCTCTTCTCACACGGTTTTTCATATGGTCGAAAGACAAATTAAAAATATTTTTCATGGGCCAATGTCCGTTCGGGACAAATGTACATATAAAAAGAAGGCCCTATATTTTTATTATATATGAATTATAAAAATTGTTCTGGATCCAGTTTCATTATTTTCCAGTTCACAGTTTGACCATTTATGATACTGTGATTGAATTTATTATGAATTATTAAGCCAAAAAAACTAGAACTTTGACACTATTTTCTTATTTCTAGTTCACAGTTTGATGATTCATCACGTACATTGTACTTTGTACATGATTTATTAGGCAAAGAAATATATAGAAGTTACTGATAATTGGACAACGTTTTATTTATAGTCTATTTGGTACTTTTAGCTTGAAGTTATGGTTTAATTCAATTCACAATAAAGAATGGCTTCGTTAGTCAGGCGAAGCCCATTGGAAAAGCTTGACAATGACGTCGATAAATTGTGAAGCCATTGACCAAGTAAAGCAATGAATTTGAAACCAGAAACATCTCAACAAAGCCTCAAAACCACTATGTTTAAATTTATTAAGTAAAAAATATTTACGTATATTAGCAATTCTTTGCTGATATTTTCCTTGTGTAGGTTTGCATTGAGTAGGTAATACAGCTCGGTATCCGATTTTCTGATTAATTTTTGCGAAACTAGAAGAAAACAGAAAGTTTTAGGATACTAAAAATCAATCAAGTAATATACCTAAGGGTAGGTAAGTCCTCAACACAAAATTTTAATCCTTGCTTGCAGTAGTAGGTATAGCCCTTTTTTTCCTATTTCCTGTTTTTGCTTTTCCTAACCAAGAATAGTTTGAGAACTACATGAAAGAAGGCACAGGGGGCTATCGGGGGCCCCTGCCTAGTAATATGGAAGCAAAAAAGACAAATAGCCATAATTTTACCTATACTTTCAGAGATTCGAAACCCTACACGGTCATAATCGAAAGCAAGAATGAGGATCATATTGGAAACTTGCACCCCATGAGTGTAGGTACACTATTGAAAAACAGTAAAGTTGGTGGAGTTGAGAAAACCTCTAGAAAAGGGAAAAATATAGTGGGAATTGAATTTACCATTTCTATAAGTGCAAATGAATTTCTAAACAATAAAATATTAACGGATGAGAATCTTAACGCCTATATTCCAGCGAATCTAGTTATCTATAAACGTATAGCCAGAGGGATCTAAAGAAGTATAACTAAAGAGGAAATAGTTGAGAATACAAAATCTGTAGCAAAGATTGTTGAAGCCAGAAGACTAAAGAAGAGAATAATTGAAAACGGTGAAATCAAATATGTAAAGGGGAAAGTAATTCCAAGGGCAGTTAACCTAGATTTCTGTGATGTAATAATTTCAGTATACGTAAGTCCAGTATTGATGTGCTTTAAGTGCTTAAGGTACGGTCACACGGCTGAACAGTGCCGAGGTAAACAAAGATGCCCAATATGTACAGAGGAGCATGAAGAAAGAGAGTGTACACAAAATACACTAAACTGTTTATATTGTAACATGACGCACAAAGCTATACTCAGGCAACATAAGGAATACCTGAGACATAAGGCCATCAAAACCACTATGATCACAGAAAATATATCATATTGTGAAGCTAGGAACAAACATCCGAAAGGAAATGAAATTATAGGACAACGACTTGGACAAGGAATAAGTAATTTAGACCATAGAGATTTCCCAGCTCTAAATCATGCAAGAAGAGCTTCGGAAGCCAATATATGAAGTAAACCAGAGACATCTATACATATCGAGAACTAACACACCAAGGAGCCCTTCATATGCCTCAGCAGCATGCAATCTCAAAAAGAAAATGCCCAGTTCACCAAGGTATGACACAGAAGCGCACAAAAAATGTCTGATTCCTACATCAGGTAGAACTCTAACCCAAATAAGCACATGAGAAGGTTCGGTGGCAGGAAGTGCATATTCTTGACAACCAACACCAATACTAGTAGGTAATACAAGAAGTCATTGGAAAGACAACCTTGTCTCGGGAGGTAAAGGACTTTATCATGGGGGAAATCCACAATGTAACCCAGATATTTGGGGGATCCGATCAGGACGCAGGCAGCCAATACCTACTGGAAGATGTACACGCTATTAGAGATTTACAGTTTGAAGAAACGCAATATGAAAATAGTACAATGGAACATTAGAAACATTCTAAGAAATTATAGTGACCTTATTGTTTTGATAAATAGCGAAGACCCAGATGTAAGTAATACTTATTAATGAAACATGGCTCAAGGCAGATTATGTCTTGAAAGTCAAATATTATGTTACGCATAGATTGGATAGAGATGAAGGAAGAGGAGGCATTGCTACATTGATCAAGGAGGCATTTCTACACTGATCAAGGAAGGCATGCCGCATATTAAATGTAATATGCACAATAAATTCAATCAAAGGTTCCAAGCAATAGGAATTGAAATCAAAAACATGACTATTGTCACAGTTTATAGCCCACCAGACGTCTCACTTTCTATAAACAACATTTATAACACTTTTGGAGGGATACAAGCTCCTTTTAGTATTATGGGAGACATAAATGCCCAACACAGCCTATAGGGTTCGCAGATTAACAACTACAATGGTAGACACTTAATGGAATACATTGAGGATAGGAATCTAATAATATTAAATGATGGTAAGAGCACAAGAATAACACCACCAAACCAAAACAGAAGTTGCCCAGACATAACAATGGTAACCCAGGATCTTGGAATATTCTGCAACTGGTCGGTCTCCACCCAGAGCGGACTTACGGCCATTTGCACCGATCTAACTTAAGGGATATTTATTCCAGGTGAAGCTTTGAATGTGACTCTTGTAGAAATAAAAGTCACACTCAAAGCTCCACATAGATTAAATATCCCTTAAGTGATAGTCGTGCAAATGGCCATTAGTGATCATTCGCCTACCATATTATGTGAAAGCTGTTAGATCAAAAGCACAGAAGGAAACTACTAAGGAAATGGAGAACTGATAAAGCTTGAAAATTATCAAGCATTCAAAGACATTGCTAAGGAAGCTATCCTAAGAGTTTTAGGATCAAGTAAAAATAAATATACTCCAAAGCGAAATTGGTGGGATGAAAACTGCAACAAATTAACAGAGGAAAGACAAGAGACTATGGAAAATAACCTAAGGAGCATGACTTTGGACAATTTTCTGAAATATATGCAACTTGCTGCCAGGACAAGGCGTGCTGAAATCTGAAGAGGAATTGGAAGAAGCGCTTGCTACTGTTGATTCCAATAGAAGTGAAGCAACGAATAATCTGGAGCAGGAAAAATCCGATTCTGAAAACGACAATTCAAAACCACTCTCAAGCTCTACACAAAACTTATGTGCTGTTTGCTTTAAGGAGACTTCACAGGTCCTCACAAGTACAGAAACTGCTGTGGTGAAATTGTTCACCAGATTTGCACTCAAAGTACCAGTGGTACCAGTACCAACGATGACAAAGAGGGTTTTGGAGCATTGATCAATTCTATGCCTCCGATGTGCGCAGACAATTTCTGCAACTATAAACAAGGAAGTTGCCCTACGGAAGGATTGGCAGTTTGAGCAGGGAAGATGAAGCAGCTATCGCAGAGAAAGTTTTCGAAAATTCAGGTAGAGGGGAATCAGTCACAGTGCCAGTTTCGAGTTAAGACAGAGGCAAAGGAAATGCCCGTAATATACTAGCAATTTTTATGGAAAAAACTGCAGATGGTTTTTATAAAATCGGCACTAAACATGGTTTAATCAGTTCTTTATATGTAAGAAACCAAATCCAAAGTTGCAAGAAATACCTAATTTTTTGAAATCGAAGATGTTCCGAGAATAGTACTATCGCTTCGCGAAATTAGTGGACAGTTCTTCATTTGGAGAGCAAGGGTTTCAAAGATGTAACTGTACCAAAAAATGTACCACTAACTTATAAGATTAAAATTGTTATGCCATTCAAAATGTCACCATTCGACATGTTGTACTAATAGGTGACTGTGACATACTTAACACTAATAATGTATTTTATAATGGTTCCTGTGTACCTAATATGTACTCTGTAAAAAGTGTATCATGCAGGAGTCCTTATTTTACCCAAAGAGACCTCTCTGATTCTACCTCATCAATATCTTTTTAGTTGGTTTTTTGAATACCTATTTTATTAATAAGTGTCATAATAAACAATACCAAGTGTATTTTATAAGGGTCCACTATGATTTTAAGGTTGTCTCTGTACCCCAATATAATAGGTACCTACCTATAATATTAACAGTAGGTATAATAGTAATGCGGCAGGTTTTTTCGGAGTTTGCCTGCTACATATTTGGTAAACCTAATATTGTCCTACAAGAGTGTAGGCAATGTCGGAAATATCGACTAATTTTCGACTTTGCCTAAAGTGGCCCAGCAGACTTTGCCTAGACAAACCTAGGTATATATGACTACATAACGGGCTTTGCCGGTAACATATAGGTACATAAGGGAGCCGATTAATGGTAACTTAATAGGACCCCAAAAAGCTAATATGGGGCTACCACAGGGGTCGCCCTTGAGCCCTTTGCTTTTCAACATATACACGAATCAGATTCAGGAAGTAGTATCAGGGGCGGGTTAAGTACTTTTCAGTAGGCAGACGATATTGCTCTGTTTGCGACTGGGTAAAAGGTGGAAGAAGGAATTAGGAAGGTGCAAGCTGCGATGGATAGATTCACTGGGTGGCTTAAGAGAAACAAAATGGACATATCGACGGAGAAAACTAAAGCGATGCTGTTCTCCAAAGGGAAAATAAATAATCCAAGAACAAATATAAGGGTGTCAGATAGAGAAATTGAATGGGTGGAGAAATATAAGTATTTGGCGCTAATATTGGACAGAAAGCTGAAATGGAATATTCACGTGGAGTATGTTAGTGATAAGGCGCAGAAAGGTATCAATATTATGAGAGCAATTACAAGAACATGGTGGGGCGCAGACCCGAATATTTTGCTGAATATATAGTTAGATCTCACTTTGATTATGGCTGTCAAGCCATGTATCACATGAGTAAGATGAATATGAACAGATTGGATCGCATCCAGTACCAAGCCCTGAGAGGGGTGACTGGCTGTATGAAGAGTACACCCTTAATGGCGCTCTTATCCGAAGCGGCTAAAATACCACTGGCTAAATGAAGAAATCTTCTTATAGTACAAGATTGATGCTCAGGAAAATGGCTTTAAAAGGGGATGAGGTTATATAGAAATATTAGAGAAATCGGATAATGTGCGCTGGGACTATGTAACGAATAAAGATATTTTCTATATCTCTATTGACGCCCCTTCTCTATTAATCTCGAAAAAAAAGAAGAAGAGAACAAGTGCCATAGAGATAGAAATAACGATCTCTATCCGTTACATAGTCCCAGTCCCTGGCATGTTACGAAGAAGATATAAAAGCTCAAATGCGAAAAATGGAATGGGTTGATTCGAACATAGGTACAAAAGAATAGCCTAGATTCTCAAGCAAAACTACAGGAAATTTTGGAGGAATATATAGATTATCAACATATCTACACAGATGCTGGTATGCTTTGGACCCTATAACAGCACAGTGCGGAATTGGAATTTTCAATAACACAAATAAATTTTCAATAATAGGAAAATGCAGGATTCAACTAATATTTGCTCAGCAGAGGTACTGGCCATCTATGCAGCCTTGAATACAGGGCCGCAACTAGGGGGTAGCAAACAAGGCGCACACTCAGGGCACCGAAGGCGCCCAATTTAATCCATCCATATTTTACAATCCAAAAAAATGCAACGGTTTTACGCGTCATTTGTCGGAGCACGGAAATTTATTTTGTTTGTGTTACATCTCTCTTTGTCAACCATTAACAATACAAATATCGATAGTAATCATATAAATTATGTCAAACACAATGCGCGTGGAAGGCAGCAGCAAATTGCAATGTCTGTGATAAATTCAAGTATTGATGACGTAGCGCCCAACATTCGTTAGCCAGAGATTAGTTCCGAGTTGAACTTTGATCCGACCAAATCGAGCAAGAGCACTGTGGGCAACGTGGGCGCCCTCTGCATGCTGCATGCATTATCTCTTTTGACTCTTTTCTATTTAGCAGTTTACGGAAACTATAATCGGGTTAACCCGATCAGCAGCTGAATGTTTTCTATCTTTCCTTAATGAATAGGATTGAAAAAAGACAAAATACGTTTGCTGGCGATCGGGTTAACCCGATCATAGTTTCCATAAACAGCTTTTACTTTTACAATAGCTTTGTTCGCGGTAAAGATTCTGAACTGGTTCGAAACTATTTCGCATCCGCAGTTCAAGTAATGGCGTTAGCGGATCACAACATTCCGAACTTTTAGTTACGGTTCTGGATTCGCGGATTATCAAGAATCGGTTCGGAACCGTTTCTGAACTAGCTCTAGCGGTCTTAGGATTTTAGGAAGAACTTTAGGATTGACACATAACGTTCGTTTACGTATTAGACAGTCTGGAGAACTCGTTTCAAAACTGTTCGCGATAAAATAATTCTGAACAAGTCTGATTCCAGACCTGGGCATGCGCTTTACGACAGTCCTCAATTAGTTTCAGACGGGTTCGGAATCGGTTCAAAATATGAGCCTTTGTTGTTGCGTTTCGTTTTGCGTGGTTTGTGAATTGTGATAGACCGATAGACGATAGACCAAAACTTAATCAATATGGTGAAAGGGCGCCAAAATTTGGACTTGCCTTGGGCGCCGAGGGTTCTAGTTGCGGCGTTGCTTGAATACCCTGGAGAATGATAAAAGAAAGGTTGTCCTGATATCGGATTCCAAGAGTACTATCGAGAAAATAGTCAGAGCTGGTATTCATAGAGCTTCAGATAGAAGCACGTTAAGAACTAGGAAAAAAATTCTAGAAATCCAGGATGAAGGTGTGGAAATTGAAACGATATGGGTGCCTAGTCACTGAGGCATAACAGGGAATTGATAAGGCAAATAACCTTGCAGAAAGGGCTAACGTCTTTGTAAATAAAACATTACACTAGGAGGATCTGGCCAGAATAACTAAGGAAGAAACATGGAGGGAATGGGCTATGGAATATTCCAATCAGGGCAGAAATCATTGGAGCCAGTATCACAAATTAGTGAAGGAACTTCTACGAATACCATGATTCAGTAAAATAGAGAAAATAGATTGACAGAAAGCTAGTGTTTTTTGCAGAATGAGAACGGCACTTTGCCTCATACCAAAACACCTTCATAAACTTGGTATGCAGGACAGTGAGAATTGTAAATGTGGAAAAGTGGGTGCTGAATCACGTTCTATTGAACTGTGAGCTTAATAGAGACCTGACAGACAGGCTGTATACAAGTTTGATTGGAATGAAGGAGGGATTTTATTAAGAAGCATCATATAAGTATTTAAATAGATGCGGTGGATGTTTGACGCTTTTGGTGATGTGCACGCTTTTAGACTTTGTTAATTTTTGCGAATTGAGCATGATAGGTGTAATGTGTAATTGAAATTAAAAACTAATAGTAAAAGGTTTTTCACCAGGTACTCAACGAATGCCATATTTTCCTGGCGCTCCAATTTCCCAGCTGAAGACGCCACAGCTAAAATTACCCATCTGATCCTATTTTGAAAACTAAAGTATCCGCCAAAAGAGTGGAATCCTGCTGTTTTCAAGATACAATTATTGTTGGAATTCTGGCTAACTGTTGCCATAAAAAACAGAAAAGAAGAAGAAGAAGAACTCAGATTTTTTCAGTACCTAGGTATTTAGGTACCTACTTTTTTCAGGTAATAAAATAAAATTAAAAATTCAAGTAAAACTCATTCATTTTATTAAATAAGTAAATAGATAAATCAATATAATAATACCTATAACATGTTATAATCTTACAAAATAAATTGACTAGAATTATATAATAGATGTCTTTTGTAAATTATAGCTTTAAATATTTTTTAATAAGATATGAATTATTATTAACTATTAATTTTAATACTGATGTCTTTTAATGTTCTACATTGCCTAATCTAAAATATATACAAAATACAAAAATGTTTTCTTTTTTAAATAAGCGTTTGTTAACTGGCAGTATACTTTTTGTTTCTATTTTATTGTCTACTATACTAAATCACTGTGATAATTATTATTAAAGCTTGCTTTGTTACATTTAAATTTGCTTTGTCATTTTGGCACCATCAAAGAGGAATGTAATTAATTTTGGTCCGATTGCAAATTAATTAAAAATTATTCCTGTTTCTAAACTAAACGTAAATTTCTGCACCGGTACTTATTTTTTGACCGGCCACACTTCCAACAATTTGCAGTGGAGCTCTAATGTAGACATTTTTTGTTAAAGTGGATTTTTTTGTTTGTTCGGCTGAAAGCTCTTCCAATTTTGGCTTTTCCTTGACTTCTCTCAAACTATTAGAATATCTAAAAATATTATTATTAAAAGAAAACATATTTAGTGAAATTGGTACCTTGATTGAGCCCTCAAACTCCTCAAACCACTCTCAGAAGTAGGCTGAGTACTCGGAGTTGTGGAACTAGTAGTACTCTTCCTAATAATTTCAGTCTTCCTAAACTGTCTCCTCAAATTCCTGATGCCGCACAACTTGAAAAACCCACCCCTAAACTTGGAGCTCATTATGTTGTACAAAATCGGATTCACTGCTGAATTTATGTGAAACATTATCCTGGAAAAGTAAAGTATGTTGTAGTAAGTTTCGAAACCGATTTGAAAACTTGTGCCCGGCGGGCTGATGATAATCCACAAAGTTAAAGCCCGAAAAGGCAGGAGGCAAACGAAAAATGCTATGACGACCGTGCCCAGCATCATCATGACTTGTTTTCGGTATTTTATTACGCTCTGATTTGGTATTGAGATGCTTTTATTATTGAGAGCCACCTATATAAAATAAACTTTACTATTATTGAAATTCTAAAGTAGGTAATAATTCTTACCAAATTTGTAGGATGTGCCATTAAAGTCCTTGCGATCAGAGCGTAAACACATATCAGAATGGCTAAGGGAAAAATGAAGAAAATTACAACTGAACCAATGAAAAATATGCAAGGCATTATGTCGACGACCATGCTGAAGCAGACGAATACCAGGGAACCATCGAAATATTCTTCTGGGCCGTATTGGGTTATGGCAAGAATTGGACTGGAAAATAAAATCATGCAATAAGTTGAAAATTATCTCAGGTTGCAAACTTTTAATTGGATTTGTCAAGTTACGTAAATTAATTTTGCCATTTATGTTTCACCCTTCTTATGTGTGAGAGAAATAATTGCTCATAGGTAGAAGGGGATTTAATCAAGAAATTATTCCTTTTTTGGTATCATGAGAATTCGAAGGATTTATCTTTGTTTTGTGTTAGATATGATTATTGGGCCGTAGGCCCTCAATACAAGGTATTACAAATTCGCCACTAAGTAGGGGATCTCAGTGAAGTGGGTTAAATTGTTGAATTATGACAAAGTTAAGAAAAATTGCCAATATTTTTATTAAAATTCAAGTAAATCAAAATAAATTATACACTATTAGAAAAAGCATTAAATTCTCTATAACTATATGAGTTTATTAGCTCAAATATTTTTTGAGCAATTCAAGCATAGTTCCAGAAATAGAATCGTGTTAAGCAATTTGGGGTGATTCATTAACTTTTCAATATTTCTGAGTGCCTTTTTTCATAGACTTCGGGCTCAAATCACAGAATAAATTATTGTATGGAGTTTGGGGGATCCCAAAGGACCATTAACACGCAAAATCTCAACAAAAAATAAAAATTGAAATTTCATCGTTTTAGTAAGAACCTACCTTATAATTTAGATTTTGGAAAACTTTGAAAAGTCATGACTTTTTTTCTATTATAGATAGAAAACTGAAACTTTCACTGAATTTTATCCCAATCAAGGGACTACAATCTCTGAAAATTTCAGCTCATTTGTACTTATAGTTCCTGAGATAAAATCGTGTTAAGCAATTTGGGGTGATTTATCAATTTTTCAATTTTTCTGAGTGCCTTTTTTCATAAATTTCGGCTTCAAATCTGAGAATAATTTAGTGTATGGAGTTTGGGGTATGTTCCCCCGGCTTGGGAGACTACGGAGGAGCGTCGGCAGAGGGCGAATTGCCGAACGGCCTATCTTTTATAGGTTATCACCGAATATCCAATAGGGTAACGCTGACCAACCCTCCAATCTAGGGTTGGAAGAAGGTAACACTTGCAAATTCTCTGAAGACGGTGAAGAAACACCTCATCATCTTCTACTGAACTGCGATGCCGTAAGCCGCTCAAGAATGAAAAACTTAGGAAGTCCCCTTATACAGCTGGAAGACATTCCAGCCCTGGAACCGCTAGACATCCTAAAATTCCTAAAGGACCTTATAGGACTATACTACAATCCCTGAATAAGTTAGTGTATGGAGTTTGGAAAAAAAAAATTGAAATTCGAGAAAAGCAAATAACTTCTACACCATTGAAAAGAGCATTAAATTCTATGTGAAACCCTTGTGTCTCGTATGGTTACCGAGATCCCCATGCTAACTTACGAGTTTGTAATACCCTATATTTCCTTTGGAAAAAAATTAATACATATTATCATCAAAATAAAACTAGCATGAATTTTCGAAGAAATTTCCCTATGAAAAACGACAATGTTTGATTATTAAAGTTGTGCAAATGTTTAGAATGTTTCTAATTTGAATAACTAAAAAAATTTTTGTGCACAAATTGTTAATTCTAAGCACATCTACAACTATACTACTCACTATTAAAGTAAACATAAAAATAGTACTTACGTGGGGTGTAGATTATGATGATTTGTGAGTGAATTAATAAGGAGTAAGGCAAAATAAAAAATTAATAATTATTTTTATTAAAAAGCTTTAATTTAATCTTTGGTACAACATCTAAAGACAATTAAGAATAAATAAAAAGCATTATTAGTTACGACATGGAATATTTCGAAGCTACATTTTTTTCTTAGGCAAGATTTAAATATTTAAGTAGTTTGAAGGAACATTTTTCCTAATCCTACGATTTGTTTTTTAAATATTTAGAAATTTGTTGTATAAATCAGTCATAGAACTAACATGTTAGCAGATAAGCTGTGACAGTTTGGCTACAATTTCAGTCACATGAGAAAATTTGTCACTGTTTATCTACTCACGTATTTTCTGATCCAACCAAATTAGTTTTAAACTATTAGACAAAAGTTTCCTCATCAATGTTTCCTTTCAAAAATTTCTCACTCAATTCCCCAGTATTTGGGCGTTTTTCATATTCATTATACTTCCCCCCATTATTAGCCTGCTTATGACAAATAATAACTCTATCAGTAAATATATTCACATTAACCCTTGAACATTCTTCGTGAACACAAGCCACTGATTTTCCTTTATTAGAATCCAAACTCCTTGTGTCGGACGAATCTGTAGAAGTTTTAATGAGCACCGAGCAGTTTTTCGGCCTGTAACAAACCCTGTAGCCTTCGTGGCTGGTACGAAAAGTACTACTTCTAGAGCTGGAATGTTGTCCGGAGCCCGAAAACAGTTTGCGTCTAGTTTCCGAGCATATCACGAAGCCCGTTCTGAATTTCGAGCTCATAAGATTGTACAGAATCGGGTTAACTGCCGAGTTCAAATACACCATTATTCTACAAAAGTATAAAATATTGTAATATCGTTCCATGCCTAGATTCATAACGCTTTCCTCTGGTACTATTATAATCCACAAAGTGAACACCCTGAACGGTATCAGGCACAAAAAGAAACTCAGTACCACGGTACCAAGCATCAGAATCACTTGTCGTCTCGCTCGCATCGAGTAATTGTCAATGTGTTTGTTCAAAACTAAACTGGCGGCGTTATAGATGAGATTTTTAGCTATGATGCAGTACAGTACAAGAAGCACGACAAGAGGAACTATGAAAAATAGGAAAATACTGCTGAGGAAGTACAGGGCGGACCAGAAAGTGTTAGCTAACGTGTGACAGGCTGTTACTTTTGTTCCGTCAAAGTAGTCCACTAGTTTGAATTCGGCTATGCCAAGTATGGGACTGAAAGAGAAAGAATTTTGATTTGATGATTGATTGGATTGGTTGGTTAGGCGTTTTTGTTGATAGGCTAGTCATTAAGCATGTGATACTAAGTATGAGCCATTTGAAACTGAGTGAGTGAAATAAAGTAGTTATTTACATTATTAGTGTGGTAAACAGGCTACTAGACACATAGACCAGTTGACTGTTACCCATTTTACTGCAGGATCGTCAGGGTGGATCATTGATCGCCCCTGCATGTTATTTTGGAATTCATGCACCGCCTCGATTTGTCTAAACCAGGTACAAGCTAATTCTTCTTATTACTCCCTATGTGTCTAGTAGGTTTGTCCGATCTGTATATGATGACATTATGTTATCATTATATAGCTAAGAGTGTATACAGGGTGTTACAAATTCGTGAATAAGCATGAGGATCTGCAGCTCACTAAAATACCGTTTCGAAATTTGGAAAGCTACGAATTCTTCCGGAGATATTTGGAAAGAAACGAAATTCTGCAAACTTTCGGTTTTTCCCGAATGTCTATGGAAGTAGTTGAATTTTTCAAATTTTCAGCCTGTATCTCTTATTATTACCGAGATCCCCATACTTGGGTACTCGCGAATTTGTAGCACCCTGTATAAGAAGAAACTTCACAGTACCTGCAATAATTTATCGGAAACTGTATAAATGACAAAATCTACTGAATTTCAAATTTCAAAATTTGTTACATCGACAGGACTGTAATAATTCTAATGTGTACTGTATAAAAAATTACAATATCAGTCCAGGAAATGGCATATTACTTCATTAGTCCGGTAAAGTAACATTGCAACGCCTACTGTCAAATGTAAAAAGTATAAGGAAGTTCTACATTTAACGTTTAATGACTAGCCTATGAATTGACATTTTCAAAATGCTCAATTATTTTTGGAGAAAAATTAAAGAACCAGCCCTGAGAATATGTAACAAATAGAGATATTTTCTCTACCTCTATTGACGTCTCTTCTCTATTGATTCCGAAAAAACAGAAGAAGACAGCAAGTGCCATAGAGATAGAAATAACAATCTCTATACGTTACATAGTCCCAGTCCAGGAATACTTTACTTAGAACACAATAATTGATTATGTAAAACGATATTCCCTTTTTTATTTTTTCCCCATAAAAAAAGCCCCATTTTCCATTATAATAAATTATTAACGAAACAATTCAAGATAAATAATGAAAAGAGTGGAAACAAAAAAATGCGCATAGAAAACGAAAGACGGCGTCGGAATATAAATATTATCCCGCAGCAGTGTTGGCAAGCGGATATTGAAAGTTTTTGTGTCCAATCTTTACCAGCTGTTAAAGGTTTTTCAAATGGGTTAATAAACATCACAAAAAGCCTGAAAGGTTAGTAGAAAGAATGATCACAAAACAATTCACAAAAAAAAACATTACACACTGGACAATGAAGGAGTATAGGATTGGATTTTGATATAAAGGCAAAACATTTTTTTCAATGAGCAGATACAAACTATATCTACTATCTGAGTATAACAAAACACAATTATTTAGTTACTCTCTCTAAGTGTGCATGGATGTAATCCCATTAAGGGTGAAGAAATTGAGAAATGTCGCCGGACAATTTGGGCCAATTAGGGTCGAGATTGCAGAACCCCTAATCAGGTTTCTGTTTCTAACTGGTTACGGCCGACGGGTTAAGGACGCAAAAAAAAACTCGCCTTAAATTATATACACCAGAAGAAAAACGTATGTAACTGTCGTAGCCTATTGAGTTATGTAAAACTTCTAGTAAAATAAATGGACTATTGATAATGTAAGTTAGGTGTTTAGTGACAATTTCCTCTAAAATCCTGTAAAGTTTTCGATAATTTCCTAACTTATAAGTCAATTTCGGTTAGTTGGTCTTATGAAACTGCCAAGTTTTTCCATCATGACTTGTCGATTATTACCCTTCTAATGATCGTTGTAATAAAAACCCGTTATCGCGTGTTCTTCGAAAAAGTTATTTTCAGCCAAAAAAAAAGGTCTATTGTATTTGTTCAACATGTTGAAACCTGATAATATCTCTGAAAAGGTGGTGGAGTGTTTGACCGAAAAGTTCACTGGCCCTGATGATGAGAAATATGAATTATCGTCCGTATCAAATTTCACTTTTTGTAAGAAACACTTCAAAATGCAAACAGCAAGTTGCATATAAATTGTGCTGCAGCTGCAAGAAGCTTTTGTCCTAAATTGAACTAAATATTATCTATAAGAGGACTTGAATAAAATAAACTTTTATGTGTGCTACAAGAAAATCACTTTTCTAGTTTTACAGAGAAAATTTGAAATTGATTTAGTTTACTCGGGGCACATATTTGCTTTAAGCTAAACCATTTTACCAAAGCAAATATTAAATCTTAACTTCTATTCTAATGGAAAAAGGTTTTTTTTTCCATGTTATATTATTCACTTGGGAAATATTTTAATACAAATTCATCTTTATTCAACCAACAGTTAGTAAAAAGAAAAATATTGATTTCTAGATCAATTTTCCCATCATAGCAGCATCCATGGGTGATTAAAAGGTAGGATTTAAAAACGGAGTTTTCTAAATTTTAGTAATCAAATATTGCTTATTCAGTATTTTTTTCCTCGGCAGTAGTCTAGCAGGCAAGTCATTTTTATCTTAAATAATTTTTGCTTCACATTTTTTGGATTCTCCCTCATAGATTTTTCAATATATTTTGCTATCAATCATATCATTATTAAGTTTTTACCGGATAAATCCTATCTTATCTATTCTTGAAATATAAATATTATATTTTAATTTTTTATCTAATTGTGGGCTTCCATTTTGTGCGATTGGTAGTGCCACGTTTATCTGAGGTAAGTCAATTCAGATTTTTGGACTAATAAATAAGGTATTGCTGCTCTGGTTTTCAGAATCAATTGTTAGTGTGAGAATATTGGACCATTTGCTCTAAATAGAGTCGGTGAAAATCAAATTTGTGTGTCCATCCCTTTTAACTCTTCATTGAATCCAGGCAGAGGCCTGAATAGCCATTTTCAGTTTGACTCCGTCAATTATTATCTCGACTAAAGGGTGTAATTTTTTTTAATAGAAATCCAGACAAATCAAAAATTTAGTTAAAAAGTTTTAATTAAAACATCTCAAGAATATTGACATATTCTGGATTTGATTGATTTCACCGTCAGGTTTATCTTGTAGTATCTCTAGTAGCTACCTTTATTTAAAAGGAAAATTTTGTCTATTTGGGGGAGAATCCAAAGATTTAGTTTCTTATTGTTTTATCATATTTTTGCCTGCTAGTGCTGCTGTCAGAAAAGCAGCATTTTGCTCAATCATAACGAGCATTTTAATTTATTCTTGCTGTTATTATTTTAATGTTACTATTATCTTTTTTTTTGCAATAGCTGTTGGTACCTGATTCTGTTGGAAGGGAGTGTCTGTACAACAATAGTTTCATAATAAATTTCAATTTCAATTTCCTTTGCAAAACACTCACTTTTTGACAGAATTCAGGGATTTTATTTTCCAAATATTGGTGAACCTGATACTGCCTTAGTCTTTTCTGGGTACCTACTCGACATAAAGATCACTGTTTGGAGTCTGAATCAGCTGGACTGATGTCACCCCAGCAATCTATTCTCTTTCTTGGATACAGGAAACAGCACGAAGAGCTCGAGTTAACGAAAGTGAAACCCCAACACCCATTAAAGAGCTCCGGATTGGAAAGGTACATGGTATCAGATTCACCGGAAAAACCAAGCTGTCAACACTAAAATTTTACAAAAAGTAACATTGACTGTTACTATATGTTACTATATAACATTGTGAATCGAATAAAATTATTGTTTGTTGGATTTTGAGTGATTTCATTTGGACATAAAAGGACTACACGTTATCTTAATTTTTTGAATTCCACGACCTTAGGTTATCTTAGCTTAAAGTTCAAATAAATCAAATTATTTGTAGCAAATTGGCGCCCAACGTAGTGGGGCTCAAACCCACGATCCTGAGATTAGGAGTCGCATGCTATCATGTATTTTTTGTCAGAACGTATTATTTGGAAGGGACAATTTCCCATAGGATTAATAGGTCCATGTAGGTATTAAAAAATCTTGGTGAACCTACTGAATATCTGGTTCTTTCGGCCAAACGAAATCATCAAGGGATGTTTTTAGAAATTTCACATACATACTTAGTCTTTTTCTTCCAGTTGAATTATCCTCCCTATATACCAGCCAATCATAGAAAACTGCGCAATATTTTTAGATTTCAATGTGAATATTCAGCTAATCATTATTTTGGTTTTTGTATTCGGTGTTAATGCACTTCATGGTAGGAATTTGTCATATTTTATGGGTATTTACTTGTATATACCCCCCCGAATTTGTGCAAACAATTCCTCAAACTATCCGCAAATTCCCCACAAAATCCTCTAAATTCCCCACAGTTTTGGCAAGGTAATTTGCTCCTTAATGGTGAACAATCAAAAGTAATTTTTTTTTTTTTTTTTTTCTAAATTTCAATCCCTTCTTCATCCACTTGCAAAATTTCAAGCCAATTCTTCAATTACTTTCGTCAAAAAAAAAATTAACCGTCCTTCAATGTCGTTTTTTGAAACTTGATTTTTTCCAAAATGACATTGAACCACATTTTACTTCACATCTTTGTTAATTTCAATCCGATCTTAACGTAATTAGGCTTGAAATAAAGCCAATTGAATCCTCTACAATTCTCTATCTAGTATTTTCAATGCAGCTTCAATAATTTCGCAGCTGCAAAGGTTTGAAGCCTTTCAACTTTGATTTTTATCAAGCTGAGCGCGTAAAAGCAAATTTTTATTTATTTTTTTCTTAAATTTCAATCCTTTCTTTATTCACTTGCAAAATTTCAAGAAAAACCTTCAATTACTTTCGTGAAAAAAAATTAGCCGTCCTTCAATGTCGTTTTTTGAAACTTGATTTTTTTCAAAAATGACATTGAACCACATTTTACTTCATATCTTTGTTAATTCTAATCCAAACTTAACGTAATTAGGCTTAAAGTGAAGCCAATTAAATCCTTTATAAATCTCTATCAGGTATTTTCAATGTAGCTCCACTAGTTTCGCAGTTGCAGAGCTTTAAAGTATTTCAAATTTGATTTTTACCAAGCTGAGCGCGTAAAAGCAAATTTTTTTTTTTTTTTTTTTTAATTTGAATCCCCTTCTTATCCACTTGCAAAATTTTGAGCCAATCCTTCAAACACTCTCGTCAAAAAAAATAAACAGTCCTTCAATGTCGTTTTTTGAAACTTAATTTTTTCAAAATGACATTGAATCACATTTTACTTCACATCTTTGTTAATTTCAATCCGATCTTAATGTAATTAGGCTTATTAAATCCTTTATAATTCTCTATTAGGTATTTTCAATGCAGCTCTGATAGTTTCGCAGCTGCAAAGGTTTGAAGCCTTTCGACTTTGATTTTTATCAAGGTGAGTGCGTGAAAGCAAATTTTTATTTTTTTTCTCAAATTTCAATCCTTTCTTTATCCACTTGCAAAATTTCAAGCCAATCCTTCAATTACTTTCGTCAAAAAAAAAAAGCGTCCTTCAATGTCGTTTTTTGAAAATTGATTTTTTCCAAAATGACATTGAACCACATCTTTGTTAACTTCAATCCGATCTTAACGTAATTAGGCTTGAAATGAAGCCAATTGAATCCTCTACAAATCTTTACTAAGTATTTTCAATGCAGCTTCAATAGTTTCGCAGCTGCAAAGGTTTGAAGCCTTTCGACTTTGATTTTTATCAAGGTAAGTGCGTGAAACCAAAAAATTTTTTTTTTTTTAAATTTCAATCCTTTCTTTATTCATTTGCGAAATTTCAAGCCAATCCTGCAAACACTTTCCTCGATAAAAAAAAAAAAGTCCTTCAATACCAGTTTTTGAAGCTTGATCTTTTCCAAAATGATATTGACACACATTTTGTCTCATTACTTTGTGAATTTCAATCCGATTGTAACGTAATTAGGTTTGAAATAAAGCCAATTAAATCCTCTACAAATCTTTATAATTTTCTTCAATTTCCCATAAATTCCTGATAAATTCCTCCAAATTCTCCATAAATTCCTCTAAATTCCCCACAGTTTTGGCAAAGAATTCTTATGTGGTTTGCCTCTTGAATTCAAAAGTATTCTAATGTATCTATTTGTATTTAAAAGTAATTTAATGTGTAACTATAGATATTTAAATGTATTTTAGTAAATACAGCTTGCCAATTTATACACATGAAGTGACTTTCCCCTCGAAGAAATCTTTTGATTTCAGATTAGGGCTAAACCTATAAAGATTCTATCGACGAGAAAATATTTCAAAATTCAAGATTTTGAGAATTTTAAAGGCTCATTCATTTTTGATTTACGAATCATTGTAGGATTTGAATCCGAAATGTTTGAAAAATTGATAAAATAAAATTCCGATTTCCATTCATAATGAAATAATTCATAATATGATGAGTTAAGATTGAGGCCTACTTTTTCATTAAATCAACACAAAAATTGAAATTTTACACTTTTTGTCGTCCAGAGACTGGCAAAAGTATATTGAAAATTTTTCTCGTCCAGAGAAATTTCCTAAGGGAAAGGCTTTATCTGCGCCAAGCATTTCCTGCAATAACTATGACCCCAATCGGAAATATCTACTTCACCCAAAGGTTCAATACACTACTATTTAGAATTTCTATCCTTTTATGAAAAAATTAAAAATTATTATTGCTTTAGGCACCAAGCCAAATTGTGACTCTTGTACTCGTATATTGGTTTACTTGTTGATAATTTTTATCACTTTTTGCTTGAAATAATTTTGCAGTAGGTACAACCGGGGGTCTGTGTGTTTTTTTTTTCGCCTCCGGCCGAAAATAACTTTCGAAAGTCGGATTGGTAACACATGTTTGAGAGTTCGGTATTAATTCTTTGGCTATTAACTCTGGAAAACTATCCAGACGAAAACTATAAGCGGAATTGTGTTCGTTTTCATTACGTTAAATGCTTTTTTAATTCTTTGGAGGGTCGTTAAAGTAGAGGAAACAATCGGGGAAAAAATTCGAAGATAACTTTTTGTTTTATTGGTGAATATGATGAGAGTTTTACGTCGTTACTGTCACAAGTACTTGAAGTACAATTAAGTATTGAAGTAAGTAGTTATAGCCAACAAATGCATTTAAATAAATCTTCAACACTCAAAAGCTGCCACTAGTGAGCTTAGAAGAAGAATGTTTGGACAGAAAATCAATGTAGGGCTACTTTACCCAGGAAAATAGCTTCCTTCGGTAGAAGTCTACGCTTCCTGGAGACAACTTAGCATGTAAAGTCACGTACAATATATCTACAATGGCAAATATTGACATTTAATTAGAAAACACCCTGCATAAAGTACCAACTTTAATTTTGAAGCACTTTCTAATATACTTCAAATCTATTACTTGATAGAATCAAGTACAATAAATAATACGAAGTACAATCGTAAACATAATTCAAGTACAATTTAAAGTACCTGATAGCTCTAATATCAATATAAAAAATTCTAATAATTATTCCTTAAATAGCCTATACAGTACTGTTGGAATAATCAACAATGAAATATAAATGTTGATTTATCGCTGACTAACAACTTAATCCTTATTGACATTCATTGATTTATCGATATTTTCAATGTATGTTAATTTCGCTAATGCTGACCATAAACGGCGGCCCGGTCTCTGACACTTTACATATAGCCGAAAATATTATCCAATTGGCATAATAATTTTGAAAGATGACTAAGAAATATTAAACACGAAAATTATAGCCAAAGATTTTAAGTTGCCGAGGAAAGTAGTTTCCAATAACTTCAAAAACTGTCCATCAATGTGCTTTATTTACCGTACAGACTTACGTCTAGACATCAAAAGCAAAGCGTGGGTTTACTTGGTAAAAGAATATTTTTGGATGGCAAACACCTTGATAGCTAAAAGCAATATTTTGTTTCACAAAAGGTGAACTACTACACAAATAAAGCATTTTACAGCAAAACATGCTTAAAACAAAATCGACTTACCTAGTAAATACGGCAGCAATAAACCAAGCTAGTAAGCATATCAGAGAAGCTCTGGCTTTGGTGCAAATGTAACCAGCTTTTAATGGTTTGCATATGGCGTAATACCTTTCGAAACTTATAGCTAAAATAGTCAGTACTGAGGCGTGGGCCACTGTCAGTTCAACAAAGGGAACTGCTTTACCTAAAAATGAAATAATTATTGTAAAAGTTGGTGGAAGAAATTTGCATAATGGAAAAGAGGCTCCTGAAATATTTTTGGTGTAATATAAAAACTGTCTGAAAATTAAATGGAAAGACAGGAAAAGGGACTCCCCGTTTTTATTTGCAAAGTTTTCCCTGCAGGAAAACGTAGATATATTGGACAAAAAAGTTTTTAATATTTATAATGAAATAACATTTTAGTTAATTGGTTTACTATTTATTACAGGCAAGTTTACTTGAAATAAAATTATGCTAATAGTTCTAATTAGAATAAAAATTGATGGGCAAATATATAAACGATAAAATGCAAAGTGGAAAATCACGTTCTGAAATTATTCAAAAAGCCAATTTGGTTATTTTAACTGAAAGCTTTTCATTCGTTTGCAAGTTTTCCTAGATTCCATAAAGGATTTTGTATTTTGCTCTTGATTTATATTAATAATTTCTAACCGTTATGTTTTCATCAATTTATATCACTTTTTCCTCTCGAAAAAATCCGTGTCAGCGCGTGAATAACAAATCGCTTTTAAATGGCTTTTTATTTCCTCCGATTTCACTCACTTTGCTTCCAAGTGAAGAGGATATTATGTGGAAATTAAAATTTTCTAGCACTGATTTATCATTGTCTTGTCGATCCAATGTTTTTAGAAAATTTCTAAGTTTATATAATGCCTTAATGAGCCGAAATTTTCATGGATTGTAAGATTTCAAGTTGATCCAATAAGAATCATCAATTATGACATATTCTCGAAAATCCAGCTTTGTGAAGCTAATTTAGAAAATAATGCATGTTCTTACATTATAATGGTTTTCTAAAAAACTCTGTTGTTGTTTTCCAGTGGATTCATGTGAAATTTTAGTATAATGAACTCCTAGTTTTCCTTTCCTTTCCTTAAAAATTTCAAAACTTTCCTTTCACTTGGCTTTTCCAAATATCCTCAAAATATTAGAGAGTGCATGTTTCTTATAGTTTTGTATTTTAAGGTTGATTTGGGAATTTCTGGTTGTCGTTTTCCACAGGATCATTATGATGAACTTCTGACCTTTCCTTTTTCATCCTGAAAGTTTCAAAATTTTCCTCTGGCTGGTTTTTCCAGAAATCTTCAAAATGTAGGTAATAGGGTGCATTTTTTTCAGTTTTGTGAATTAAGTATAATTTTCTGAAATTTCTTATGTTGTCGTTTTCCACTTAAGTTTTCCACTGGATCATTTTGAAAGTTTAGTATGATGAACTCCTGGCAATCCCCTATTTATTTTCCATAAATCTGGGGTGCTAAGAGGAAGGTTAGGAGCTTATTGAGCTAGAATTTCAAGTTGATCCAGTGACAATCACTATTATGAGAAATTGTCGAAAATCAGCTTTGTAAAGCCAATTTATAAGAAAATGCACTTTCTCACTTTACAATGGTTTTCTGAGGAACCATTCAGGAGAAATTTTCAAAACTTCTGGGGTGCTAAGAGGAAGCTTATTGAGCTACAATTTCAAGTTGATCCAGTGACAATCGCCATTATGAGAAATTCTCGAAAATCAGCTTTGTAAAGCCAATTTACAAGATAATGTACTTTCTCACATTACAATGGTTTTCTGAGAAACCATTCAGGAGAAAGTTTCAAAACTTCTGGGATGCTAATAGGAAAGTTAGGAGCTTAATGACCTAAAATTTCAAGTTGATCTAGTGACAATCACCACTATGAGAAATTCTCGAAAATTAGCTTTGTACAGCCAATTACAAGAAAATGCACTTTCTCACACTACAATGGTTTTCTGAGGAACTATTCAGGAGAAAGTTTCAAAACATCTGGGGTACTAAGAGGAAGGTTAGGAGCTTATTAGGCTAGAATTTCAAGTTGATCCAGTGACAATTACCATTATGAGAAATTCTCGTAAAACAGCTTTGTAAAGCCAATTTACAAGAAAATGCACTTTCTCACATTACAATGGTTTTCTGAGGAACCATTCAGGAGAAAGTTTCACAACTTCTGGGGTGCTAAGAGGAAGGTTAGGAGCTTATTGAGCTAGAATTTCAAGTTGATCCAGTGACAATCACCATTATGAGAAATTCTCGAAAATCAGCTTTGTAAAGCCAATTTACAAGAAAATGCACTTTCTCACATTACAATGGTTTTCTGAGGAACCATTCAGGAGAAAGTTTCAAAACTTCTGGGGTGCTAAGAGGAAGGTTAGGAGCTTATTGAGCTAGAATTTCAAGTTGATCCAGTGACAATCACCATTATGAGAAATTCTCGAAAATCAGCTTTGTAAAGCCAATTTACAAGAAAATGCACTTTCTCACATTACAATAGTTTTCTGACGAACCATTCCGGAGAAAGTTTTAAAACTTCTGGGGTGCTAAGAGGAAGGTTAGGAGTTTATTGAGCTAGATTTTCAACTTGATCCAGTGACAATCACCATTATGAGAAATTCTCGAAAATTAGCTTTGTAAAGACAATTTATAAGAAAATGCACTTTCTCACTTTACAATGGTTTTCTGAGGAACCATTCAGGAGAAATTTTCAAAACTTCTGGGGTGCTAAGAGGAAGGTTAGGAGCTTATTGAGCTAGAATTTCAAGTTGATCCAGTGACAATCACCATTATGAGAAATTCTCGAAAATCAACTTTGTATAAAGCCAATTTACAAGAAAATGCACTTTCTCACACTACAATGGTTTTCTGAGGAACCATTCAAGGAAAAGTTTCAAAGTCTCTGGGGTGCTAAGAGGAAGGTTAGGACCTTATTGAGCTAGAATTTCAAGTTAATCTAGTGACAATCACCATTATGAGAAATTCTCGAAAATAAGCTTTGTAAAGCCAATTTACAAGAAAATGCACTTTCTCACATTACAATAGTTTTCTGACGAACCATTCAGGAGAAAGTTTTAAGACTTCTGGGGTGCTAAGAGGAAGGTTAGGAGCTTATTAAGCTAGAATTTCAAGTTGATGCAATGACTATCACCATTATGAGAAATTCTCAAAAATCAGCTTTGTAAAGCCAATTTACAAGAAAAAGCATTTTCTCACATTACATTGGTTTTCTGAGGTATACCATTCAGAAGAAAGTTTCAAAACTTCTGGGGTGCTAAGAGGAAAGTTAGGAGTTTATTGAGCTAGATTTTCAACTTGATCCAGTGACAATCACCATTATGAGAAATTCTCGAAAATTAGCTTTGTAAAGACAATTTATAAGAAAATGCACTTTCTCACTTTACAATGGTTTTCTGAGGAACCATTCAGGAGAAATTTTCAAAACTTCTGGGGTGCTAAGAGGAAGGTTAGGAGTTTATTGAGCTAGAATTTCAAGTTGATCCAGTGACAATCACCATTATGAGAAATTCTTGAAAGTCAACTTTGTATAAAGCCAATTTACAAGAAAATGCACTTTTTCACATTACAATGGTTTTCTGGGGTACCATTCAGGAGTAAGTCTATATAAGCCCCAATGAGCCGAAATTGTCAGGGATTGTAGTAAGATAAGAATCAGCTTTCTATACATATATAATAGAATTTGAGATATGGATTTTCAAACTATTAAAAAATTCAAATCATAAAAGTTCCTGAAAAATACTTTAAGCCATTACAGCAACTTGAAACTTTCAGGATTTATTATTTAGAGTTTTTTCATGATACAAAACAAGTTGGAAGTTAATATGAAAGTCACAATTAAAGTTATAGATTTTTTTACTGACTGATACTTGAAAAAATCAGAAAATTTCTGTGAAATCACTTTCGAAGGATCTTGAAAAATTCTTTGAGCCACCACAGCAACTTGAAACTTTCAGGACTTATTAAATAGAGTTTTTTCATGAAAGAAAATGAGTTGAAAGTTGATATGAAACTGACAACCAAGGTTATGGATTTTTTTAATCATTGGTACCTGGGAAAATCATAAAATTCCTGTAAAATCACCTTTAAAGGTTCCTGAAAAATACTTTGAGTCATCTCAGCAACTTGAAACTTTCAGGATTTCATAATTAGGGCGGGTATTATAAAACTGCTTTGACAGTTAACTTGAAGTTAACTTTTTGAATTACATGTAATTCCAGAAGTTAACTTTAAGTTAACTCTCAAAGTAGTTTTATAATACCCGCCCTTAGAGTTTTTTCATGATACAAAACAAGTTGGAAGTTGATATGAAACTCACAACGAAAGTGACGGATTTTTTTACTCATTGATACCTAGAAAAATCATAAAATTCCTGTTAAATCGCCTTTAAAGGTTCCTGAAAAATACTCTGAGCCATCTCAGCAACTTGATACCTTCAAGATTTAATAACTAGAGTTTTCTCATGAAACAAAACAAGTTAGAAATTGATATGAAACTCACCACCAAAGTTACGGATTGTTTCATTCATTGATACCTGAGAAAATCACAAAGTTCCTGTGAAATCACCTTTGGAGGTTCCTGAAAAATACTTTCAACGATCCCAGCCAACTTAAAATTTTCAGGATTTTTTTAATAAAAGTTTTTTGATGACACAAAAAAATTTGGAAGTTGATATGAAACTCACAACCAAAGTTACACATTTTTTTACTCATTGATGCCTGAGAAAATCATAAAATTCCTATAAAATCACATTTGAAGGTTCCTGAAAAATTCTTCGAGCCATCGCAGCAGCTCGAAACTTTCAAAATTTATCAATTAGAGTTTTTTCATGATACAAAACAAGTTGGAAGTTAATATGGAACTCAAAGCAAAAGGAATTTTTTTATTCATTGATACCTGAAAAAATCATAAAATTCCTGGTAAATCATCTTTGAAGTTTCCTGAAAAATACTTTGAGCCATCCTAGAAACTTAAAATTTCCAGGATTTATTAATTAGAGTTTTTTCATGATACAAAACAAGTTGGAAATTAATATGAAACTCACAACGAAAGTTATGAATTTTTTAACTCATTGACACCTAAAAAAATCATTAAATTACTGTAAAATAACATCTGAAGTTTCCTGAAAAATACTTTGAGCCATTCCAAGAACTTGAAA